CGGCGGCTACTATATATTCGAGGAGGTCGTTGGCGTCAACCACGGGCCCCCTCACGCCGGCACACGGGCTCGCACCCTCGTATACTCAGGCCACCGAAGTATGAATCGATTTCCGATAGCAAGTTGGTCGTCGTCGTTTCAACGCTGAGACGAGGCTCGGAAGAAAGGGAAAAAAGAGGGTCGAAGGTGTGCGCGTTTCTCGGTACCGCCGGCGTGTGGCTTTTTGCGACGCGCGTCGAACAGCGTCGACGACTCGCGACGGTGCTTCTCGATTACCGAATATACGTATTAGCCCGTACGTGTCTTTCCCGCGGGTCTCGAGTCGCCTTCATTTTTTCTACCCCTTTCTACTTCTTTCTATGTCATTTTCAATCCCGTGTTACATGTGTAGGTTAACGATTAACTCTGTAACCATTTTGGAATTTAGCGGTGAAATTCTGATAATTAGCGAAGAAACAGGTATCGCGAACGCTATTCGAATCGAAGCGCGGCAACGATGGTACGGATCCTTGAAGCGACCGTTCCAGAGGGCGACACTTAAAAAATGGCGCTCGAGACCGGCCGGTGTAGTGAGATTGTAATGACAGTGCGTGGATCGGATGTAGAGTAACGTATAAGTGTGATATGGCGCGAATGGGATAGTATGACAGAGAATTGTCTCTTATTCGTATCTATCTGTAATCTTTCTTACTTATATACCGTAGCGGAACTCGTACAGTCCGCATGTCCGTCTAACGTGTATCGTCTCGTCTATTTATCTAACCTAGCCATAACAGAAGTATAGGTGTACAACACAAACTTTCTATAGATGTCGTTACTTAAGGGTTACGGCGGTGGTCCGGCATTCCAAAGCGCGTGTTTTTATAATTTCATACGATTTTAGTCGCTAGTCGAAAGAATCGAAGCGAACGTATAAGACAGGGAAGGATCGATTTGATCATCCTCGACCAATGAAAGTACTCGTAGCCACGAATACAGGCTCACCGTCGTCGATCGTATGAAGTACGACGAGCAAGTGTATAGCGGAGACGTATAAAGAGAGGAGAAGAATGCGAAGAACGAAGGTAACTGTAAATATTATTCTTAGATGTTAGATAAAACGCTGTAAATATATAAAAGAGAAATGGAAAGGAAACGATCATCAAAAAACGATTTATCGGTCGACACGAGATATACGAATGTACAGGCGCGAGCATGCGCAGTCGCGATGATTACGCGTTCCTTTTTACGCATCTGTGTAACCGTGTAGTCCGTGGAGCTATGAAATCCATTTCCAATCTTTCGAAGGTGAATCGATCGTTGACACGGCGTAAGAGAGGAAAGAAAAAGAACTCGTGTCAAATTATTGGTGCAATGAGTAATTGATATCAAATAACAGTGAGTATATCATAAAAAGAAGCTTCGAAAGAGCCGCTAGTCTTGCCGCGGGCGAAGGAACGCGTCAATCGCATCGTGAATGCGTCGGGGAAGAAAATAAAAACGTGTGCTTACGGTATGTACACATACGTTAAAACATAATTTCGGGTGTCAAACGTGTCTTTTTTTCCGCCGAACGAAGCCCCCCTTAACCTTTACCGTTTTATATATATATATATATGTATGTATGTATATGATATATATACATGCACACGCATCTTGAGCGTAGATTGCAAGGGAAAAGATGGCAGAGGTAACACGATTCCGAATGACACTTGTTTTTTATACCTCGCATGGCTTTCTGTCTCTGATAGTTAGAGATTTAGAGAGTTGTGCACATACGCACATATATCAATACCACTGATACTACACACACATACACTACACTATCGTACATACTCGCACGTAGAAACGAGGACAAGAACAACTTCTGTATATCCCGAGACTAAATCGTAGGTAAAATGGAAAAAAATGACAATTCATATACACGTTTACGTGTCTTCTGTGTCCGCAATAGACAAGTAGCTGTTGACAGAGTGCGAAATCGGATAAACGAATAAATGGTTAAGTACGTAAATATATATATATATTATAGATACATTATAAATATATATATATGTATGTATACATATAAATATATATATATATATATACATATACATATATGATCGTAAAAGTATGTGCGGGACCTTGACACGAGGACGCGCGTGCTTCTGCGACGCGATGTCGACATCTCACAATTTTTCTAATCGCTGAAGGAGAAAAGGGGAAGACTAGAAGGAAAAGTACGATTCTCGAAAGTGTATTTTTCATCGTTGCTCCTTTCGCAAGACATTTCGGAAGTCGAATCGCGTGCAATCGTGAGATTAGAAATTCCTTTAACGTCACCGAACACAAAGAGAAGGAGAAAACACCGAGAGAGAGAAAAACCTTGGTTATGTAGTTTTTCCATTGTCACTGGCCGCTGCTTGTGTTTCTGGTCTGTGAAAATTTCGCGATCGACCCGCGAGATGTCTTGCGAGTGGAGCAGGTGGGAATGCACGCGAGAAGGAAACGGGGGAAAGGTATAAGAAACGACGGGCGAAAGGGAAAGAAATAAACGGACTGAAAAACGATAACTGCCTCAAGCAACTTAAAAAGTAAAAGAACAAAAAAGATAACACGACCCGTATCGCATCCCGGACGGGGACCCCTGCCAAACGAAAACGTACACGTGTAATGTTGTAAAGTAGTGAGAGTAAAGAACCTTTAGTGTCACATATCACGCCAAGCTGTTACGAGCGAAAACGGACAATGTCGCGTTCGTGGACGACCAGTGACGGGGGGAAAGAGTGAGAAAGAGCATGACGAGACGAGATGGAACGATGGTAGTGGCGATGGCGGAGAGGAAAAAAGGCGGGTGAACGAGACAGGGGGAAAAGAAAGAGTGCGCTGCTATCGCGATGGCAGAACGATTGATGCGACGAAAAGAACGAACGCGACGTTAGAAAAAAACGAGAGGGAGGAGTTTATAACGAGTATTTGTAAGCCACTTTTTGTCACGATGATTGTCAATAAAATGGAAAATACTGTGTGTAACGAATGTGTCCCGGAATTTCATCCATCGTGTTGGTTCATTAGGTATGATCTTTCTTTATTTTCTCGTTCTTCTCTTTTCCTTCGTTTTTTCTTTTCTTCATATGTGTATAAAAATATCTGTGACAGGGGAAGTATATGTATATATGGAATTTCAAAATAATCATGTCTCCCTCTATTTTTCTTTAGTACGTTTTCCTCGTTCAGCTTTTATGTTCTTTTTCCTGAAAATACTGTGGATCCTCTGTTTGATCCGATTTTACGCTCGACCGCCATCTTTATACAAGTTTTTACGTTGCCATAGTACATAGTTAACGAGTAACCGACGACCGATGACCATATCGTTATACATATACATATATCGAAATCAAAATTGTATACGATTTTTAATATACTTTATTATTATTTAAGTTCTTTGCGTTCATTGCTTGTACAACCTGAGAGTCTTCCTCGATCCTCTCGATCGTTATCGTTGCTCCTACTCTTTTAGTGATTTTCTTGATAAATAAGAATTTATACTTGCGACGCGAAAGGCAGGTAAGTTGATCGATCGATCGATTCATATTTGCCACAGAATTCGTATCGTTTCGTGAAATAATAGACACGTAATCTATAAATATACTAAAACAGAGAACTCGAAGTATAGGAAATAGGATTGAGTCCACTTGGTGGCGAACAGACAACGAAAATAATTCTCTCATCTTTGGACATCTCAAGATGGATACTAATTCAAAGCAAACAAGCTCTGTTTTTTCAGCATACTGTTTTTTAAAAGTAAAATTTTAGAAGATACTTATATTTCGATCCAAAGGATATTCGAGTCATAATTATTTGACGTAAAATCTTGTTGAGTAAATATTTCGTCCTTTAAATCATGCTTGAATATAAACAGGGGTTCCGGAGACGCGCACTTCAGTTTGTATAAAACAAAAAAGGCCCCTCCTGTTTAAGAGGTTCGAACAAGTGGCTACATTCTTCTGTCTGGCAGTGGAACAAAGTAACCCGACCAGAGGATGACGCCATAGAAAGAATTCAAACGCAAATGATAGTTTTACGTACTTATTTGTATTTGCGACGTCGATGTTTATTCAAGTTGCTTGAATTTTTCATTTGACTCTAGGATATTGCATTTCTACATATTCAAGTACTTATTCTATTTTATACGATATAAGAGTCTTTGTATTCGAATGAAAATGAGGGAAATGGAGTTTCTCATTGATATTGATGAGGATGCTACTAAGAATCGTGAGTTTTACTTGCTACAAGTTAGACTTGTTTACGTGTTTATTATTAGACGTCTTCAAGCGTTGATTTAACATGTTACTATTATAAGTATCGTTATAGGCTTTTGGGTGACTATACCTTAACGTGTTCGGAATTACGTACAATAATTACTAACGATCATCCATATATTGAATCTGCTACATTTATTTCAACATTCAAGTAGATAACAATGATAAAATAGCCTGGCGAATTTCATTCCAACGAAACGAAATCGCAAGTTCAATTCATAAATAGTTAAAAATTGTACGCGTACAATACCTTTCGAAGCGCGAATTGATCGAATCGGAAACTTGTATTCTCATAGGAACTTCCATGGAACTCGCATGGATAAGCCGCGAATCTTTGGAAATCTACGAGGATATGTCTGGAGACAAAAGTTCCGGCGGAGACGCCACGTTGTTTATAACACCCTCGAATCCCAGTCGGGCTGCTGGAAATTAATGTAAACGCAGACGGCGATCCGCTTCGTCCGTCCTCGAGAGACAGAGTACGTCCGACTATTTACACGTCGTTACGAATCGGCTCAGTGAAAATCACCGTTCAACCTGGAACCTAAGCAAAGCCACCCTTATTCCATGAGTCATTGCCAGCGTCAGTCAGCACCGGGTGCAAACACAACCCCCGGCGTCGTCGAATTTATGGTGGTACTGTCGAGTATCGCCTCCATAAA